ATCGTCACCATCATCATAACATATCGTCATTATCATTATCATAATCATCGTCATCATCATCACCACGATCATCAGTATCATAAGGACCAGCATCACCATCATCGTCGTCACTACCAGCATCATCATCATCATCATCGTCATCATCATCGGCATCATGATCATGATTCTAATCAGCATCATCATCAGCATCATCATCGCCACCATCATGACCATCGTCATCATCATCATCAGCATTCTCATCATCAGACGACGACGAATCGAAGGAGACAACCTCTCTCACACACCGACAGGGTCGGCTGATTTTTTCCCTGCATGAGCTCTGGATGTGGCTCTTCTTGCCACTATATCCATACGATGCCCTTTTTTCTATCATTATTGCAGTCTGTGTTGTACAGCCCTCTTCGTTGCCCGCGAGCACGATCTTTTGGTCTCCAATCTTCGGTAATTAAATTCCAATCTTCTTTCAGATTCAGATTGCATGCGCGGTGCTGGAGCAATGTGCGGCGCCGGGCTTTTTGGCTCTGCCGAGGCTTGGGGTCGCGCAGGGCGCAGAGATACCTTCGCACTTTTCCAACGTCAGAAACTCATGGGCTGAGCGCGACGGTCTCATCCCTTACACAAAACAATGTTGCTGTGCGTGCGCTTACGATTGATGGACAATTCGCACTCTTTGCGCCCTGGCCTGTAATACATACACTGTACTCTATGGATCGCACCAAATATTTTGCACCACATAGACTGCACATCAAGAGTGCAAGAATTCAATGCTCGAGGTCCACACCGGCAAACGCATGCATATTCGAAGAGCTCAACCTTTCTTGGGCTTCCCTGGGAGGCACCCAGGCCATCTCAGAGCCACCCTGGGGCGTCGTGGAGGCCATCTTGGATTGTCTTCGACCATTGTGTGGGCAGTCTGGGAGGCCACGGACGGCACGGGTTGGAGCAACAGACACCCCCGAACAGAAGAGTCGACGCCGCCGTGCTCTGCGCAAGACGGCGTCGCCGCCCCCCTCGACACACTCCGCGCCGCGGCGCAAAGGGGGGGGGAGAAAGGCCAGCCAGGCCGCCAGGAAGGCAAGACACACCAGGCCCCTCAAGGACGGACCTGTGAAGCAGGCGCCTGCCGTGTGAACGACTCTCGGCCCTCTCCCTAGGACGAAGCCTGGACGAGGATAAACTTTAGGCGATGATAACTCGAGAATCTCTGAAATCCGGCGGCTCTGGAGGACGCATCGGGCGTCGCGGCCTTCTGAGAGCGTTCCCAACCGCTCTGAGAGCGTTCTGGATCGCTCTGGATCGGACTTATCCTCGTTCTAGCCCCGTCCGACTCCCTGCCCCCATAGGCGCACACGACCGATCCTTTGGTGAACTCAGGAACCGAATGCTTGATTTGTTTTGCGCGCACTCCCCCTCTCCCTCTCTCCCCTCTCCTCCGTCATCATGTCCTCCTTCCTCGTCCTTCCGCCTCCTCCTCCTCCTCCTCCTCCTCCTCCCTCCCCATCCCTCATCTCTTCGTCCTTCTCCTCCATGGCTGGTACATCCCGTGGTGGGGCCCCTTTCCTTCTGCTCTGTGCCTTCTCTCGAATCTCTTTGCGGCGGCAAAGAGATGGGGGCCAGGCCGCCGCTGGGCGCCTCGACCATGTCTCTGCCCTCCTGGGGGGGCAGGAGGAGGAGGAGGAGGAGGAGGAGGAGGAGGAGGAGGAGGAGTTTGAGGAGTAGGAGGAGGAGGAGGATGAGGAGGTGGGGCACGGCGACGCCTCCCAGCAGAAGCAAGACTCGCCATCGTTCGGACGTCCACTCCCAGTGTATTCTCAGTTTTCGGGCGCTTGTTTTTTCGTGAGATGATCCTATGTGCTCCTCGATGGCCCTCGCCGAAAAAAAGCACACGTCCGAGCGATGCCGCATGGAGGAGGGAGGTCTCCTGTGAGCACCCCTCGGCCTCCCTGGCCGGGGCCTCTCTCTCTCTCTCTCTCTCTCTCTCCCTCTCTGGGAATCGCGGCTGGGGCAATTCTGGGCCCACCTCCAGGGTCTGGTGAGCTGGCCCGCGCGCTGGCGCGCCGGCTCCTTCGATGCTTGGAGCGTTTAAGGTAGTGACTCGCGCTGTCACGGATGATCATCATCATAAAATTAGTTATACTAACAATAGTCATCATCATCATCATCATCATCATCATCATCATCATCATCATCATCATCATCATCATCATCATCATCATCATCATCATCATCGTCGTCGTCGTCATCATCATCATCATCATCATCATCATCATCATCATCATCATCATCATCATCATCATCATCATCATCATCATCCGCCGGCCCCCTGGCGGGAGCTTGCAGCTCCCTGTGCCAGTTGCAGTTTCCAGTTTCCACTGTTACAGTCCTGCTTTCTGCTTCCTTTGTGTTACTTGTTGCTGAACGCGCGAGGGGGGGAGCCGAAAACCGTCCTGGTTAGCGTCCCCGAATCGCGTTGTACGAATTCCCGGGGGGTCGTGGGATTCTTACAAACACAAGATATTCGCGTCCACGAGGCCATAGTCCTTAGTCAATTACAACATGTTCGCGTCCCCGAGGCCATAAACCAGTGCAAGTTACTCGCGTCCCCGATGCCCTAATCCTTTGTCAATTATATGCTATTCGCGTCCCCGAACCTTAACCCCTGGTAAATTACATAATATTTGCATCCCCGAAACCATAAACCGGAGCAAAGTATGCAATATTCCCAAAGCCATAAAGCCTCGTAAATTACACCACGCTTGCGACCCGAGGCCACACCCCCTCGCAGATTACCCAATATTCGCGTCCCCGAGGCCATAACCACATGTAAATTACGCAGTGTTTGCGCCCCCGAGGCCATACACCCTCGTAATTTATGCTATACTTGCGTCCCCGAGTCCACAACCCCCTATAAAGTATACACGATTCGCGTCCCCGAAGCCATAACCGTTGTAAATTACCTAATGTTCGCTTTACCGAAGCCGTACATTCGTAAAATAATATTGTCCCTTGCGTGAAATCTAAACATTGCTTCACGTCAGCGTCCAGACATCCCAACACAGCTTTGGCAAGTTCCATTCTAAGAGAGGGGGGGCCATTGGCATGGGGGCGAAGCCCTTACGGATAACAGTAACGATAATCAGAATAAGAAGATGACGAATAAGTAAAAAAATAATGATACTAATCAGAAGAGGAGCAACACCAGTAATCACAATAACAATAGCAATTAGAAGAAAACCATACTAATAATAGTAATAAGAAGAAAGTAACCAGGATGGAGGGAGGTAGGGAGTGCCAGAGCGGGGCGTGTATACGGCGCGGGGGTGACGACAGGTTGGAAGATCGAAGTTTTCGAGCGTTTTCGTCGGTTTTCGGCGCTTCTTCAGGTTCGGGATGCTCTCCAGCAGCTGCGTCTCGCCGAGGGCGTCCTGGGGGGGCCTGGATCGTCCCCAACGGCCGGCGGAGGCGCGACCCATGACCCCAAAGCCGGGCATCGGAAGAAGAACCCCTAGGCAAGGAAGAGTGCAGTCCAGGGTCAGGAAGCCAGTGGGGCTCCAATCGTGGAGTGGCAATGGATCTCACTGCTAGCCCCTGCGATGGAAACAGGAGACGCCCTGCCAGGTACTTCTTCAGGTAGCGGCCGATTCTCTTCAAGTCCTCCATGTTGTTCTACTTCGGCTCCCTCATCTGTCTCGCCTGCGTACTCGCGGCGTAGCTGATGTCTGGCCTGTCTATGCTAATGTACATGGTCCTCATGGTCACGCTGCGGTAGGTCTTCGCCTTCTCGTCGTCGAACTTCTGCGATTCACGATCCACTTTCAGGACGTCCATAACTGAGCGCTTCACCGCCAACGCGGTGACCTCCATCGCACTCTCCAGGCCCAGGTCCCTGATCACCTTCTTGACGCGGGGCTGTCACCATTGAAGTAAGCTGACCGCTGGATCGGATGCCAGACTATGACCCTATTGAGGTAGACCGCGCTCTGCTCGCTCGTCGCCCTGCTGCCCATCACTCCCGTGACCTTGAAGCCATAGCGTGACAGGACCTCGTCGAACCACCCCTTTCTGGGACTTCTTCATGATAACGCCGAAAAAATCGTCGCCGTGGACCTCCGCTTGCATGTGACGTTCGGCATGGTAGAATATCGCTGGGTTCGAGATGCCCTTCTGGAAACCGCGTCAGCTCGTCAGGCCCACGCAGTCGCCTTGCCACGCATGGCTTGCATCAACTGCGCCGTGCGTCGCCATGAATAGCTTGCCCACCACCGGCTCGGGATCCTCGCAGGTCTCCTCCTCGGGTAGCTCCACGTAGACTACCCGCCTTACGTCGCCGTAGAAGTGGGCCTTGACATGTCGTAAAACTTGTACATGGCCTCGTCTTGCACGCCCTGGTAGTAGTCGTCGTTGACGCGGCCCACGAAGATTGCGATCATCGCCTTAAAAGCCCCCAGCGGCGGCATGGCTGAGAACAACTCGTACTGATCAGGTCGGTCTTCAGCTCCCATGGCCTTCTTGATCTCTCTTGCTACCAGCCTCGATCGATATCGCGGCTGCTGCTTGTCGCTTTGTTCGTGTCGATCCACTTGAAGGTGACCGCTTTCTTGCCCTTCTCTAGCATCTCCTTCCCAGGTACCTTCCCTCATGCGCGCCTCCCGCGACGCTATTCCAACTGCCTCGCAGCCTGGGCGCCCTCGCAGTCGAGGATGTCGCCCGTTACGTCGTCGATGAAGTTGTCGTCCTGGTATTCGACGAACACCTCTGACTCCTCCTCGTGGGGATGAGGACCTCCGCAAAGAGCGGCAAGTGTAGCAAGTCCTCCACGTCGTCGCAGTTCGCCTCGCAAGCCTTTGAGAATGGCAGCGACCAAGCCTGGAGGATACCGTTGAGCGTGCCTAGCTCGTCCCTTGACCAGATGTACATGGCGCGGTAGTTCCCCGTTCAGACCTCTTGGACATTCGCAGTAGCCCTCGACGATGTTCGCAAGCAACTCACTATTGGTGAACCACCCGGTCACATTCCGAACGAAGCCCGACTTGCCGCCAGGACCGATCGCCTCCATGTGCCAGCGGCACATGGGCCCATGGAGCAAGAACACGTTCTCCATCTTGATAACCCCCTGGACGCTAGGTCGGCACCAGCTGCTCGCTGACCACGGCGCCTCGCGAAGAAACAGCTTCTCTGCCTTGTAACGCTCCTTGCAGATCCTCATGCAGAGATTGAGGTGCGTCTCGCCTTCCAAGATCTCGGCCTCCACGACCTTCGGATCACGCTTCGCGTCCGAGAACTTCCGCAAATTTGTGAATGATGTGCACGGTGGGCTGGTTACCGTTAGCAGTGGGTCCTGCCTCGCCAACTGCTCCATGCGCGCTTTGCGTTGTGCTGGTAGTCGTAGATCCCAGCCTGTCTCGATGTCCACCGCCGGGCCAGGTGCGAGGCCGAACCTGAACGTCATCTCAGCAAACCTCCTCGGCGAGTAGATTTCCGCAGTGTCGACTGCGCACATCTCCGTGAGTAGGGATGCGAGACTCCCCAGATGATGTCCTCTTCCTGCTCCATCTCCATGTCCTCCGCGCTGTAGTCGATGCGGGCGAACTCTCTGAGCTCCATGATGACCACCTCGTAGACTGCCACGAACATGCTGCATTCACGATCTCCAACTGATCTACGCCCATCGCGGGGATGTGAGCCAGATTCGGTCTCGAACTCGATGCTGCTGCCGATGCCGACGATGATGCTGGTGCAGACCCCATCGCGACTTCTGGCGTCATCGGTGTGTCCACCAGCTCCTCCACGTTCACCTGGGTCCGCTCGATCGGTGCCTCTCTCTTGAGTCCGGCTCGCTTGAGCTTCAGCCTCTCCTCCGCGTCTTAAGGTACTGGACTCTCGGGCGATGGTCCTCGTACTCGCGTGGCTCGACCTGGCTCGGGTAGAGCAGCTCTGCGCTTCCTGATCGCGCCTGCGGTGCTTCCACCGCCCCCAGCCGACGCTGCCCTTCCAGCAGTCCTCCTCGGCTTCTCAGCGGGAGCTCCTCCTGCTTCACCTCCTTCGGGCGCCGGCTGTTCTGGTCGCTCTCCTTCGGCGACAGCCCTTCGAGCGCATGGCCCAGGTGCTTCGTCCGCGTCCTCGGCTCGAAAATGGTGCTTGGTAAGTCGGGCCCTGTCCTGTGGGTCCCCCTTCATCATCTCTGCGATCCTCTCGCGACACCCCTCGGCGTGCGCTCTCATGGTCTTGCCCTTCTGCATCAGCTCCTGGCAGCCCATGCGTCCTGCCGTCGCCCCGCACTTCTCGATGTCGCGGCGCAGCGCGCATCTCGCTCTCGGCGCTCGCGGCCCCATGCTCGGGACGGCCGCGAGAGGCGTCCTAGGGGTGGCGCCTGCCTCCTCTACAGGGCGCGTGGCCCAGGGCACTCCGCACAGAGCATCCCAATCTTTGCCGCCCCAAGCCCGCTCCTTCGGCAGTCTCTTGAAACCCTGCCCCTTCTCGACCCCGTCAACCGCCGTGGCGAGTAGGGCGCCTGTTCGCATGTGGTAGCCCAGGAAGTTCCCAGACTTCATGCGCCCCTTCATGGCGCTCCTCCTTCCCGATGGCGCGGGCGGCCTGTGCATCGCGCGCTCGCCTCCGAACTCCGCCTCCAGCTTCTTCCAGTCTCGACCAAGCCACCGCTGTTCAGCAGAAATTCCGTCGGCTCCTCGACGACATCGGCAAAGGCAGCCCGCTGCGCACTGCGGGGGCCACGTGAGGACGGGGTGCAGGTCGTGCACCTTCCTGCCAAGCTTCGTCTAAAGGACTGGTTGACCCTCACTTGCCTCTTCACCTCTCGAACTGCAACTTCGACCCCCCGTTATTTTGATGTTCTCCTGGCGGCGACTCTCTCGGCGAGAACTCCACCGCGGGTGGCGCCGCTGCGACCGCCGTCTTCAACGCCGAAATCGCCGCCTCTCCATCGCTCTGGACGATCAGCCTGCGGTAGCCCCGATGCAAGATGACGCCCATCAAGATCTTGACCGTGAAGTTGGTGACCTTCTTGCCAGGGACCGCCGACGAGTAGGGGGGCTTCGTCTTGGAGTCTCTGGCGACCAGCATCGGGAAGTTGTCCTCCTGGTCTTCTTCCTCGCCAGCCTTCTCGCCCATGAACGCGAAGTCGATCGACGCCACTGGGTCTGCTCCTTCTCGTGGGTCTCCATGTAGCTCATGCTGTTGTCCAACACCTCTGGCCGCGCAGCAGACCTCGCGCCAATCTCGACATGCAGCGTGTCCTGTAGCCTCGTGCTGCTCGAACTCCGCTTTGGTGGGTCGCCTCTTCCTCGTGTGGGCGCGGGCCGGCGCGACCCCCTCTGCGTTGCCATCGCAGTCAGCATCCTTCTCGATCAGTTCGGATTCTTCGGCTTCGCGGGGAGCAGGATCACGACTCCCCGTCGCTGGTGTCGGTGATCTCACGGTCGGCCCCGACGCCTGCGAGCCCGCTGGCTGCGGGGCGCTCGCTGGCCCCGTGGAAACGACGCCTGCCAATGAGGGTCCGCCGACGCGGGGGCCCAGGGGCAGGTGTCCAAAGCTGCCGCTGGCGTAGACGAAGACGTCTCTGGCGCGTCCATCAGCGCGCCCATCTTGCAAATTCCGTCCAGTAAGTAGAGCGGCACGATGCCCTTGTTCTCCTCGGCCACGCAGGCGTCGATCACGTGGAGGATCTTCCTAGTGAACTCGCTCTCTTGCAAGAGGTAGCCGCCGAAGGCCCCGATCCAGGCGAAGTGGCCCTTCGACGCGGCGGCCAAGGCGGACAGGAGCGGCTTCCTGATATTCGCGCGCCTGCCTTTCAAGTTCAACTGCTCGCCGCACTCGGACATGCCCAATGACGCTGACGCCTCCTTCGTCTTCCACGATCTCGCCGGTGGCAATGCGGTAGTAGTTGCCGTCGGGCTCGGTGCAGTCGCCTTCCTGGCCAGGCGGAAACGCTGTGGCCGCCGCGCCCGTGTCGAACGTCGTCGCGATGATCTTCCCGTAGTGCTTGCGGTCGGGCTTGGCCTCCGCGCTGTTGGGCTCTGCGACCTTCTCGAACGCGTCGAAACTCAAGCTGGTGCTCGGGCTCACCTGTGACGCCGACGCCGGCAACTGCGTGCTGACCGTGCGGTTCGTCTCCTCGAAGTTGTCGAGGTCGCCTCTGTGGACTCCTCCTCCACCTTAGTTGTTGTAGTGGCCTCATTTGCCTTTTCTTCGGATACTGCTTCCCCTTGCGTTGGCCTTTCTCCTTCGGTCTCCAGCACTCGGATGTTCGGTGTCCTTTCGTCCGCAGATACAGCGGGTCGCAGTTGAGTCGCCTGCTGCCTTGCCCTTGGGGCCGCGTCCTTTCCCTTTTTTGTCATTGCCCTTTCCTTCGCCGCCCTTGCCCCTCGAGTGCCCCTTGACGAACGCATCCACATCCATCGGACCTCCTCGGGCTCGACCGAGAGCCTCCAGTGCCTGCCGGGCCCCCAGGAAGCTGCGCGCCTCCCCCCTCGTGGCCGGGTAGTCGTTCAGCCGCGTGCGGTTGAGGGCGAGGTGGAGCTCGACGTCCTGCGAAACCAAGCTCTCGAGTGCACTCATCTTGATCTCGTCGTCCGGTCGAACGTCTCGGCCGCGTAGTCGCGCCCTCTCGCAACGCCTGATCAGCTCTTCCCACTTCGCGATCTCGCCTGCCAGGTTCTCCAGCTTCGCCGCGCGGTTGGGCGCCATGATCTTCTTCAGGAGCACTCTGCGGCGCCCGCCACTCGTCGGGCCCCATCGACGCACCAGCAAGCGTAGAGCCTCTGCGCCTCTCACTTGACCTGCACTCACAACGAGACCGAATGACTCCCCCTCTGTCAGTGAAATGGACAGCGCGTAGAGCTGGGAGAGCTTCTCGTCTATCGCGTCGACCTCTTCGCCGTCGATAGCCTCGTCCACGAACTGGGCCACCGCAGCCGCCGTCGTCAAAGCCACTGAGTCGTTCGCCTGGTCGACTGCCCACTCGATCACTGCTTTGAAGCCAACCCCGAACACGCTGATCACGTAACTGTTGACCTTCTGCAACCACTCGCTGAAGCGACCTCTTCGTTCTTGAACATCGGCGGCTTTCCACTGTCCTTCGCTTGGATCAGCTGCGGAACCCGCTGCGCCGTCTGCTCTAGTGGGTTCAGCCGCTCGACCACTTCGCCGAGCCTCCTGATGATCTCAAGTCCACCTGCCTGTAAATTCAGTTGTGCTTGTTGACGCAGCTCCGCACTCTGCCGTTGTAGTTATCCGATGGCCGCCTGCACTTGTCGAGCTGCGTTCTGCGTCTCGTTGAACGTCTCTTGATTGAACGCCATGTTTGGTATCGCGGCGCTCCTCGCCGCCTCTCACGTTCTTCACGTAGTTCAGGTACTGTCCGAGCTGCGACCAGTAGCCTTGCAGCCTCTTGATCTTGATCGCCTTGAGCACAAGCCTCCTCCAGGCCGCGCCCTCCTCGCCGATGTGCTCGAAGCCCTCGGCCTGCTTCGTAATGTCTCTCTCTCGCCCGCCGCCTGGCGGGATATCGCGCGCGCGGGCAAAAGCTGCGGGGCGGGACTGGGAGCTGGAGCTAGTCCAGCTCCGCTACCATTTTCAACTCCTTTTGAGCAACGATGGACTATGGGCGGAGCACGATTCAAACTGTTCTCACCCAAACTCGCTCTAGCCGAAACTCGGAACGATCAGCACTCAACCGAAACGTCCGCTGGTTTCAGTAACCACACTGGGCTACGGGCTGGCCCCAGGAAAACCGACCACATAAACGCGCACATGTACACACATATACATATATATGTATACATACATATATATATATATATATATATATGTATGTATGTATATATATATATATATATGCCACCGTTCTCGCAAAGGCCTGCTGCAACTATCGAGGCCGGCGGAACCGGCCAATTGCCCGATCCGCGGCTTGGCGCGCGGCAGAACCAGCATCGGTTAACGTCTGCGGGGAGGGGGGAGAGGACGAGTGGCAGTGGGAGACCACTCGGTGGAGATGGCATCAGCACGACGTCGCGGGCCCTCCCATTTTTCGGGCTCCGTGGCCCCAGTGTCTAGAGCCAGGCGCTCGTGCGCAGACGGGGCGAGCGCGTGGCCCAGCGCTCTCTCTGCGGCGCCGCGGAGGCGCGGGCGCTCGTCATAGTGCACCATGGAGTCGGCCCCCGCCGGGCAGCCGAAGATGCACGGTTCGTCACGCGACTGGAGTCGCGCCGCCGTCGGCCAGGCCCTGGCCCACGTCCGCAGTAATGCCATCCGCCACGCTTGCGGCAAGCGTCGGAGGTCGCCGGCCAGCGCCTCCCAGTCGAGCGCCTCGGGGGTCTCCACCGAGGGATGCCAGCGCCTCATCCGCCTGGTCATCGTCGAGGCCAGGTCGTTGGTGAACACGCTGGTGTGGAGCGTTCGCAGGAGCGCCCCCTGCAGGCGCAGCTTGCCGCCGGGCGCCGCCAGGGAGCCGCCGTCCATGGCCGCGGAGCGGGACTGCAGGAGCTCCCGCGCGTGGTCCAGCGCCGCCAGGCCCGCCGCGCACAGCTTTGGTGAATCGTTCAAGCCCTCCGAGGCCGCCCGCAGGTGGAGGACCAGAGGCGCGTCGCTGCGCCACGATGCCGCGCAGCGCCCCTGCGCAGAAACGGCGGTCGGCAAGTGTGCCTTCGCCGAGCGGCGCAGCAGCGTCAAGTTGGCCTCCCACCCCGCCAGCGTGGTCAAGACCGCCCGCAGGCGCACGGCAGCAACGCACACGTTGGCAGAGGTCAGGGCGGGCGCGCCAAAATCCTCCAGGACGTGCCAATCCGCTCGGGTGAGCGAGTTGGCAGGCCAATGAAAAAGGCGGCTGTGGATATGCATTTCGTCGCGCGTGAGATTCCACGGCAGCGGGAAGAGCTGGCCCTTGTAGCCCAGCACGGGGATAGCGTGCCGGTGATACAGCGCCGTCGCCGTGTAGAAGCAGGAACCCGTCTTCGAGATTGCCCCGGCGCGCTCGCGCCACGCCGCCAGCTGCGGGGCCCATTGCGTCTCCAGGCTCACGTTGACACCGAGAATGACGCTGAGGTACAGCAACTGCTCCGCGATGTCGAACGCTGCCCAGGCCGCGTCGGCCGCGGCAAGGCATGCCAACGCGGCAGCGCGCCTGCCGTCATCCAACGGCCTCCCAACGGCACGCACTTGCACTTCGAGATCTTCAGTGTCAGGCCGGCCAGGCGGCGGCAGAGGCCCAGCACCCTTGCTAGCACCCGGCAGCCGTGCGGGCCATACGCAATGGCGCCAAGGTCGTCAGCGCACGCCCTGGCGATGCCCAGACGGCGCTCCTCGAGGGACGCGGCGAGGTCGATCAGGAAGACATTGGTCCCGATCGCGTAGAGGTCGCCGCTGAGAGGGCAGCCCTGCAGCACGCCCGAGTTTACGATGAACAGGAAGGTGAGCCCCGCGTGCGACTCCTCGAACATCTGGGCATCGAAGTAGAACATCGCGAGGACATACAGGATGCCGATCGGGAGCCCAAGGGCCCGGAGCGACAGAAAGAGCCATCTTTGGGAGAGGGCCGCAAACGCCTGAGCAAAGTCGAAACTCAAAAGCAAAGGCTGGACCATCAGGGCCTCAGGGCCGAACGACGCTATGTGGGAGAACGTATCTAGATCCAAAACATTGTGCAGGAAATTCCGTCCGCGCATGAAGCCGCGCTGGATCGGGGAGATCACTGGGGCGATGATTTTGGCGAGCACCAAATGGACGGCGCTCGCCAGCACCTTATTGCTGCACTGCTTCAGGGCCAAAGGACGGGCGTCACTAGCCGGGCGCACTACTCCATCCTTGTCAGCCTCCCTCGTCCCTTTCGGGGGGAAGACGGCGAGGGCTCGGGCGAATCGAGCGCCTATGGGCCTCCCGAGCGTCATCCACCGCAGCGCGTGCGCCAGCACGTTGCTGCCCTCCTCCGCGCCCCAGCCTGCGCACGGCACGCCGCCGGGGCCAGGCGCCGACGCCCGCGCCCGGGGAGGAGGAGGCGCGACGCCAGCCAGCTGCTCGGGCGCGAGACGGGGCGACAGGCGGTCCAAGCACCGCTGGGCGGCCCGCTCGTCGACGGGCGTGACGCTGGAGAAGACGGGGGCCCGGTGCGCCGCGAGCGCTGCTGCCCGCTCCGAGGGGGTGTTGACCACCTGGCCCTCCACCTCCACGCCAGTGAGGTAGCCTCCTCCTCCTCCTCCTCCTCCTGCCTCCTCCTCCTCCCGCTTGCCGAAAGGCGACCAGAGCTTCATGCGCCGCTCGTGGGCGCGTCGCTGCCCCGCCAGCTGCTGTCGCAACGGCGCCGGCGCGGCAGGGCCAGCCTGGGCTGGGGAGGGGGGCCCGCCTGGGGCCAGCTGGCCACGGCGCGCCTCCCGGCGCAGGAGATCGGCGCGCTGGGCACGGTCGTGGGCCGCGTGGAACGCCGCGCCATCCACCAGCAGCACCCGCCCGGGGCGGACCTCGACGAACTCGGAGAGCCAGCTGCGGACGTGGATGAGCCGCGCCGCGAAGTTGTAGTCCTGGCGCCAAATGCAGCGTGCCATGCATCGGAACACCATGGCTCTCGAAGCCTTGGAGTTCGGTTCCCGTTGAAGCCGCCTGTCCCGCATGCGGGCGCCGACCTCCTGCAGGATGCGGGTGTGCAGATCCAGCATCGTCGGCGGGTGAGCGGCGAACGAGTCAAGCGCCGCGGCCGCGGCGTAGGCGGAGATCAGTTCCCGGGCGCCGGACATCCGAAGAGGGACGGCGGAATCGGCTTGCAGTTTCCGTCCGTCCGCGTCTGCCTGCTGGGGTCGCCATCGCCATCGCGGTGGCCGAAACGCACCAGCAGGACCCCATGGTCGCTTAGCTCGCGGGCGTGGAGCTCCTCGGGGGGCTCGACGACCTCCGCCTGCTGCCACGTCTGCTTGAGGAGCCACGTCGGGCATGCAGTGAAGACCCGGTCGATCGCCGAGAACGTCTTCAGCCCGCGGTGCACGTGCGTCGGCGACCGCGCCACGAGCTCGACCATGCGCCCAAAAATTACATTCCACTGTCGCTCGTGGCGTCGCGGGGCGCGCCGGCCGTCGGCCTGGGGCTGCATGGCCAACGACCCCCCCGATATATATATATATATATATATATATATGTATTTATTTATTTATCTATTTATTTATTTATTTATTTATCAAAGCTTTAGTATCTTTCCCGCTCGCCCCGCTCGCCCGTTGACTCCGCTCCGTCGTCGACCACGCTCAATTTCAATCCACACTTGGCTGTCCCGCCCGCCAACCAACCGTCCACGGATCCTGAAAGCGCCAGCGTGACCACAAGCTTTTCTGGGGGGAAGAGGGAGGAAGAGGCGAAAGGGAGATACCGCACACGCCTGAACATTGTCGAACTCGTGCCGGGGGATCGGCAAGCCACCCTGCTGCAGGACCGCCATCGCCCTTTCTTCCCGAGTGAAAACTGCAGAAAACCAGATGGCGACTGATACGAATTGCCCACAAAACGAATCGGGGCCGCGCCGGAACTCGGGGCACACAGATGCGACCAAGGGAAGAGGAGGGCCAGCCGCAGAGGCGGAACGCGGGAGGATGCCTCAAGCGTAGAGAATCTTCACCACGAGGAGTGCGCAGGCGGCCTCGGCCATTGGAAACCAGTGTACCAGATGGTTGCGCGAGAAGCCCAAACTGCCGAAGGGACACAGCGCCGTGATCCACCAGGGAAGCACACGCCGTCATCCACTGAATAGCAAACAAAATATGGCATAATACCGTTGCTGAGCCAGGACCATCGGCGGGCATCATCCAAGGGACTGGCCTTCCGGAGGCGGCTGGGCTCTGCAGGAGCCTCCCGTGCACTGGCGCCAGGGGCGGCACCAGACCAGGGTCCACAGCCTTGCCGAGATACACCTCGCCCGAGGAGGAGAAGGAGGAGGAGGAGGAGGAGGAGGAGGAGGAGGAGGAGGAGGAGGAGGAGGAGAGGAGGAGGAGGAGGAGGAGGAAGGAGGAGGAGGAGGAGGATAGGAGGGGCCGGAGGAGGAGGAGGAGGAGGAGGAGGAGCAGGAGGAGGAAGACCGCCCTGCTGCCCCGCCCGCCCATGCTTCCGGATCCCGCCCGCCCCGCCCACCCCGGCCCTGCCCCGCCCGACCGGGCTCGGCGGGGCCCTGCACTGCCGTGTCCCGCCCGCCCGAGCCGCTCCGCCCGCCGGACCCCCCCCAAGGGAGAGGGAGGAGGAGGGAGAGGGAGGAGGGAGAGGGAGGGGGGGGAGGGAGAGGGAGGGGGAGGAGGAGGAGGAGGAGGAGGAGGAGGAGGAGGAGGAGGAGGAGGAGGAGGAGGAGGAGGAGGAGGAGGAGGAGGAGGAGGAGGAGGAAGGGGAGGAGGAGGAGGAGGAGGAGGAGGAGGAGGAGGAGGAGGAGGAGGAGGAGGAGGTACCCCTGGCCAAAGGCGCCCCCAGCTTTCCGCTCAGTTCTGGAGCCCCTGGGGGCCTCTGGGCCTCTGGGAGGGGTGCTCCTGGAGGCCGTGGGGGCCTCCCTGGAAATCCTGGGGGGGCGCCTTGGGCCAGGGGCACTTCTAGCGACACCCGACTGGTAGGGTTCGCCCACACGGCTCGGCCGAAAGGGCCGCGGGGGACAGGAAAGCAAGCAGGGCAACACAGAGAGAGGAAGAGAAGAACACGGAAGGAAGGATAGATACACGAGCTGCGAGTGCGCCTGGATTGACAAGCTGGAAAAGGAAAATGTCCATTCGGACATGTCCGGATTGCAAAATGGCTTTAAAAACAAATATGTTTCAAGCTTCAACGTGTCAATTCGTGACCGCAGTATTAAAAATGCTACGTCTGTGATCTTTCAATCCGCGAATTCACAACTGATGAATTCGAGCTACAACGTTTGAAGTATTAACTTGTTGCACACCGCCAATCTAAGTCTTCAGTGTGTTCTGCCACTGTGCCCCCTGGCAGGCTGGGGCGTGCTAGAATGCCAAGTGCTGCCTGGTAGGGCTTCTGCAATCTTCGGGGGGCCCCCCTCTGCTAGCGCTGGGCCTGCGCGACTCGCTACCCCCTTCCCTTTCCTTCGTAACGCATGGAAAAACTGATAATCCGCGCTCCCGAGGTCACACCCCCTAGCAAAATACAGCAGGTTCGAGCTCTGAAGGCCGAGACTCATCCAAGACTGCCCAAGATGGTTCCAAGACGGCCCACTTTGGCCTCAAGACGGCCCAAGAGTGCGTCAAGACAGCCCAAGAGGCCTTCGAGGCGTCCCAAGAGATCCAAAAGAGCCTTCCCGAGAGAGCCTCAAGAGGCAAACACTAATGACTCCCCCTAGATGTGTCTCAATGGTTTTGGGGTTCTCCTTTTCGAGCCTCGGACGTCCCAAACGTGCCCAGGAGGCCCCCCGAAAACCTCAAGACGGCCTAAGATGCCCCCAAGAGGGCCCCAACAGGCGCCCAAGACTGCCCAGGATCCCACGAAAGGCCCAAGAGAGGAAACATGCACCGACAATTCGAGCCTTCCGGCCCGAGAGGCCCCGGGAACCCCAAGAGGGCCGAAAGAGGCCTCCAAGAGGGTCCCGAGAGGTAAACATCTGTGACTTCTCTTAGGGTTTTCAATACCTTAGGGTTCTCCACCGTCGCCGCAGTGAGTGCATCTATGGCCGCTCGAGGTGTCACACTTTAGGGCCTCCCGTCTCCCTCGCGCAAGTAGCTGCCAAGGAGAAGGCTGGGATGACACGGTGGCGGGACTTCCCGCAGGCAGCTGGATCCGCCGCCCCCTGCCTGCAGGGGTGCACGGCGTTCTGGACGTTCCAGGTTTTGGTTTTGGTTCTTTTTCCAAAAGAACTCCCCAGTGGGCTCCGGCAGAACCCGCCGGCCACCCGGAATTTTCCCAAACGTGCTCAACGACCGCAAAAAATCCTCCAAGAACGGCCGTTTCGCTCGGGACATCCTCAAAAAATCGCGAAGATGGCCCAAGATGGCCTCCAAGTCCGCCCGAGATGGTCCAAGACGGCCTCCAAGACGGCCCAAGAGAGTCCAAGACGGCCCAAGACGGCCCAAGAGGCCCCCCAGAGGCCTCCCAGACGGCCCAAGAGGCCTGAGGTCCTCCCGGAGAGTCCGAAGAGGCCAAAATCATTGTTTTTTCCTTGGTTTTTGAAGGATTCTGGCATTTGCGCCTTTTCGGCTCTCCGACGGCTCGAGACGGCCCAAGAAGCCCCCAAGATCGCCCAAGAGGCCCCCAAGAGAGCCCCCTGATGGCCCAAGTGGCCTCCAAGATGGCCCCTAGAGGGCCCCAAGACGGCCCAAGAGGCCTCCAACACGCCCAAGATGGCCTCCAAGACGCCCAAGATGGCCTCCAAGACGGCCCTGGAGCGCCCCAAGAGGGTCCCCCGTTGGCCCAGAAAGGCCCCCAAAACGGCTCCCGACGGCGTCAGACGTGCCAGGAACCCACCAAGATGGCCGAAGTTGGCTCGAAGCTGGCCCAAAAGGGCCCAAGAGGCCCCCAAGAGGGCCTCCAGGAAGGCCAAAAGATGCCAAAATCACTGATTTTCCCAAGGTTTTTGATGGATTTGGGCATTTCCCTTTTTTCGGCCTTCCGACGGCCCGAGACGGCCCAAGAGCCCCCAAAGATCGCCGAAAGATCGCCCAAGAGGCCTCCAAGACGGCGACGATGACCATCAAGACGCCCACGTGTTCCCCGAAGGCTTTCCAAACCGATTCGGGGAACACATGGTCCGATGGCTTGGCAGGTCTGGCCTCAACGTTCGGCCACATAGGCGCTTCCACAAAGGCAGGGGGCGGCGGTGATTCGCCGTAGGCGTCTTCGATACTTTTTCAATGTTCAGTCCCGCGCTGCGGACCCAAATCGATTCACCAACGAAAACAGCTTTCCTCGCGCGGTGGCGATGGGTAAACTCAGGCATCGGATAGGTCACCCGACTTCGCGCTTCGCGACGAGAAAAGCGCTGTTATCCTCCCGCCCTCGCGCAAAGCAAAATAAATCGTCGTCGCGCCCATGCGACCTGCGGGTGACTTAGATGACGGGGCATGGGAGCGATGCGAGCGTAAGCTTGGAATGACCGTTGAGAAGAGCATTCCACGACGCGCTGAACTCTCTTTCACGCTAGCGGCGGCGAGCGTGTGGTGCGCCAGGGTACTCCATGGTCTCTGGTCCTAGACTGGCTACAAGAACCAATGCAGCTATTAATCATCCAGATCCCCCCCCAACTCAGATCCTTATACTCACCCCTCCTCCTCGTCCCTCCCGGTCCCTCCCCCTCCTTCATCAATCTCCCCATCCGCTCTCCCCCTCTCCTTCCTGCTCCACACCTCAACGAAAGCCTTCCAGGCATCTGTAATTGCCTTGCCGATGCGCGGACTGGACACGGTGCGAGCGGCAGTACTGCTGTAGCCCCATGGCCTTAGAAACACGGAGCCGATCCCCGCTGATTCATGGCCTAAAAATAATCCGAATCCACATCCCAAAAGCGGAGCACGCTGTCAACCGATTGCCCGATCGACCGTGCCGATCCCGATCTATCAGCGGCGGATCCTCCTCGTGCTCATCCTGCTTATCATGCCTCTTCCCTACTGCTCCCCGACTCTTCCTCTACTGCGCACGCCTCCTCTGAACTTGTTGCTCATCTACCTCTGATCCTCTCCCCTTTCTCCCGACATCCTCCCGCTGACTGTGGATGTCAGTTCCCTTCCGTTTCTCCTCCTCCTCCTCCTCCGTCCTCCTCCTCGTCCTCCCTCCATCCTGCTCCCTGCTCTCCGCTCCTGGCTCGCCGCTCCCTCCAACTTCCTCCATCCTCTCCATCCTGCCTCCTTCCTCCTGCCTCATGCCCTCCTACGTCCCTCCTCCCTACGCACCTCCTATCCTTGCCTCTCATCATTCTCCCCTTCCTGCGTTTCCTCCCCCTCTTAGCTCCCGAATCCTGGTCAGGCCCTTCTCCCTCCTACCTGCTTTTTGCCTCATCCTTCTATCCACACCTTCTCGCTCCTTTTCCCTATCTCGTCCTTCATCCTCCTGCTCCTCCCGCTTCCCTCATCCACCTCCTCCACTCCTCTCCGTCCTCCTCCTCCTCCTCCTCCTCCTCCTCCTGCTCCTCCTCCTCCGCAGCGCCCTCACCTCTCATCCTTATTCGTTTTCTAAGCCCACGGCCGATGGGGACGAAGATTGTCAGCACCGCCGCCCCCGCGAATGTCCAGCGCGGAATCGGGATTTGCGGAGGCTTGACGCGGAGAGGCTGGCCAGGACAATGAGGCAGGATGGTGGATGGAACAGGAGGAGGAGGAGGAGGAGGAGGAGGAGGAGGAGGAGGAGGAGGAGGAGGAGGAGGAGGGGCAGGGGATATCGAGGGGAGCATTGGGCGCAAATTAATGGGGGCGGTAAACGGGAAGAGAAGAGTTGTGCCCTTTTCGGGCCCTAAGGGCCCCCTCTGAGGCCCTAAACGGCCTCTTTAGGGGCCCTGAAGGGCTCCTTTTGTGCAGCCCTCGCTGCCCCCCCCCCCCCCCCATTTATCGTCCCCCCCTTACGCGCCCCCAGTGAGCAGGAGGGAGCGAGGGAGCAGGAGCGCTGGGCACGCCTCCTCCTCCTCCTCCTCCTCCTCCACCACCTCATCCTCCTCGTCCTCGTCCTCCTCCTCCAGCTCCTCTTACTCCCTCCTCCTCCTCTCCTCGTCCTCGTCCTCCTCCTCGTCCTCTTCCTCCTCTCCCTCTTTCTCTTCCTCTTCCTCTTCCTCTTTCTCTTCCTTCCTCTTCCTCCTCCTCTTCCTCGTCCTCTTCCTCTTCCTATCCTCCTCCTCCTCTTCTTCTTCTTACCCCTCCTCCTTCTCTCCTCCGCCTCCTCCTCCTCCTCCTCCTCCTCCTCCTCCTCCTCCCCCGCCGCCATCCTCATCCGTCCGTACTTCGTATCCCCCACCCACCCCTCCCCCATCCCCCCTCCTTTTCTCCTCCCCCCCTTCGGCCTGCGCCCGCCTCCTTGCTCCCCATCCTGCTCCTCCTCGGGCTCCTCCCCGGCTCAAGCCGCCGCGATGACAAGAAGAAGGAGGCAACACAGCGCCGACCAGCATCGGGACGCGACGTCCTTGGTCGGCCGGCCACGCCCGGAGGGCGGCAGCCTGCTCCTCGAGCCGAATCGATCCGCCGGGGCCCCGGGGGCCCAGAGCAGAGCAGAACTGCGAGCTGGGCTCCATCGGGACCCGATCTTTCGGGCACGCGCTGACGTGGGATAGGGATCCGTGGACCTGACGCATGGGCGCCAGATCCACGGATCGGAGAGCGCAACGCCCGAAATATCGCGCCAATGCCGCCCAATGAGGCGACGGGGCGCGGCGACATGGTATGGAAACGGAGCCCGTCGACATTCCACAAGCCTGAACCCATGCATGCGTCTCCTCACGAACCTTCGTCGCGGGGGTTCTTCTGTGATGGTCCCCGGGCCCGAAATGAGCCTCCCGCGTGACCGCAGTGACCCGTTGGCCGAAACGCGTCTGGCCGCGGCGACGGAAACCGCCCCAAGAAGCTTCGCGGGCCACCGAGAGCGAACCTCCGGGCAGGACCAGTCAGCATCGTATCGGGGCATCGGGTCGAATCGAATTGCGCGGCGAATCGGGCTGCACCGCCACGGAGTCGAAATCGCATCGGACCCGCCGCTCCAGGATGCACAACAGCGCGGTTCAAACGCACCAGGGCCGCGCCGGATCCTCAGAACATCGGAACCGAATCGGATCGGACCGGCCGAGATCGACAATCGACATCGAATCGGATCGGATCGAGATGGGCCTTGCCTGGGTGGCCGGCCGACCACGGCGCTGCACAGCTCCCTGGACCCACCGCTCTGCACTGTACACGAGCACCAGCGCCGACCGGCGGCTGGGGAGCCGCGGGGCAGCTGGATCCGGAGAGCGGGGCGTCTGGGGAGCAGAAGGGTGCACCCGCTCGCGCCCCCTTCCGCCGCCCTGGAAGAAGATGGGAGGAGGGGGAGGAGGAGGAGGAGGAGGACGGAGGACGGAGGAGGAGGAGGACGGAGGACGGAGGAGGAGGAGGACGGAGGAGGAGGAGGAGGAGGAGGAGGAGGAGGAGGAGGAGGAGGAGGAGGAGGAGGGGGGGGGGGGAGGGAGGAGGGGGGAGGAGGGAGGAGAGGGGGAGGAGGATGGAGGGAGGAGGGAGGAGGGAGGGGCCAATGGCACTGGCAATGGTGCATCGGCGAGTTCGCCGCGCCGCTTCGCGGCGGGCCCAGGGTGGGCCCCGTTCTCGTCTGGGGACGGCCGAAGCTCAGATTTCCCATGATTTCTCGGATTGGGCCGGGCTCCTCGCCCGACCCAATTCTCTGGTCCACGCAACCGCCGAATCGGGCGACGCAGGAGGACGAGGACGAGCACGAGGAGGAGGAGGAGGAGGAGGAGGAGGAGGAGGAGGAGCAGGACGAGGAGGAAATGGAGGAGGAGGAGGAGTAGGAGGAGGGGGACCAGCGTAAGCCTAAGATTCATCAACGATGTTGAAACACAACCTCCCTCCAAAATCCCTCTTCAAAGGCCCCTAGAGGGGGTCATTTCCACTGGGGGGATTGCCCCATTGGGGGACAACCGTGTGAACATCCTGAAGCGCACCAACACACCATTTTCATGATTTCGACGCCACGAGTTAACCTGACTGTTACGTATTGGTGATCCTGGATCGTGCCTGAACACCATTCCTGGGACCCCAGCGCCGCGAGTCAACGTAACTGTTGCGCCCTGGCAATCCTGAACCGTTCCGAAACAGTGGTGCGTGAACCATTGAAACCACGGGCAGTCGTACAGATGTAGCGAATGTGCGCGGCGCTGAGGCGAGAACCACATGTTGGAAAGGAGCCGCCTTCAATCCGTGAAACGCTTGCAATTTTGTAGATCGAATGCGCATGACGCTAAAGCGAAAACCAGATTTTGAAAGCCACCTGCCCTCAATCCGTCAAACTCTTTCACGGATTAAAAAGGTATGTGCGCGGCGCTAAGGCGAGGGCCCCATGTTGAAAACGAGCCGCCTTAAATCTGCGAAGCTCTTGCAAATATGTTAAACGAATGCGCGCGGCGCTCAAGCGAGAGCCACATGTTGAACACCGCCCGCCCTCAGTCCATGAAGCTCTTGCAACTATTTAAAGCGAATGTGCGCTGCGCTAAGGCGAGAAACACATTTTGAAAACCGCCCGCCATCCATCTTTGAAGCTGTTGTCAATTGAAGGAGTCTCAGGCGAAACGCCCGGCCAGTCCTTTCGACCGGCCGCCGGGTGCGACAGGGAGGAGTTATCTAGAAGGAAAAAGAATTGAGGAGGGGGAGGGGGAGGAGGAGTACTCCGCAGGCCCGACTCCACTCTGGCTGGAACGTGAACTACCCCAGCACAGCACAGAGCAAGCGAGGGAAAGGGAAAGGGGAAAACAGAGAGCGCCTGCCAGCTCAGCCACTGACACAGGCGCGTCGGCCTTCTGGGTCCACGGGGAACGCCCCCGACCCCGTGCCGCCCCTAGGGCGCAGAAGGAGACCTCCAGCGCCTCCTTGCGGGTCCGTGAGGGCAGCCCCCGACCCAGCGCCTACACAATGGCACGTGCCGACATCCCCATAACAACTTTTACCTCCAGGTACTCATTCAGGGTCCGCGGTGGTAGCCCCCGACCCCGCATCGCACTTCCCAACTTCCCAGGAGAGCGTCCGCGCCCTGGGCCCTACCCGAGTGGGGAACACTCTTTTCACTGGCCTCCCCTCTTGCGCCGCCACCCCCCGGTAAGCGGGGATGGCTGAGTGGGTTCTGCCCGGAAGTCCCTGGCGTCTTGTGTCTGGCCTAGGGCAAAGACTTCGTCTCGTCGATATCCTTGAGAGCCCGTGGGGACAGCCCCCGACCCCGTGCCCTCCAATGGGCACATACCCCCAGTAGAAATCGCGGAGACACCAGTTCCAGCTTCGCGAGGCCGATCTCCATGAGAGTCCGTTGGGGCAGCCCCCCACTCAGTGCCTTCCAGTTGGCGCGTACTCCCCAACTCATCTGGTTCCTTAAACTTCCTCTGCCGCACGCAAGCCTTGGCAGCGTGCCTCTCGCCAACTTGCTGAGTGTCTGTCGTCCGCGGCGCCCCACCACGCCGGCGCGCTGTCCTGCGGGCCCCCTGGCGATGCGTTTCCCGACGCAACCAAGCCTGAGGCGCGCGTGGATCTGCAAGTCCGAAAAATAACCCAAGGGGTGGGAGATGTGGATCAGAATGCCCTGAACCGACACGCCAATGCCACCAACTCTCTGGATAGAATAATTGACAATGCCACCCAGGCACGACGTCTTGAAGACAGGTTCAAATTTCCTCCCACTTGCGCTGCGTCCGCTTTAGTGGCAATGCAAGGCTGGGCCCATCCCGGGAAACATGTCGTGCTCTGACATATGGACACGTCTGTGGTATACCTTGGCCACCAATCGAGTGGGACATAATCGTTCGGGCTCCGCCTCAGAAGCGGCCAGGAAAGCCTTCGCCCAGAGCTTCCTCGCCGCTCGTCCGATGGCCCTGGCGTGCCCCGACAAATCAACGGCCGTCTTGTCAACGGTAACTTCCTCGATCCAGGACCCCGCGTCCTCGTCCGCCATGCAAATGACCAAATCGCGTTCCAGTGGTGTGCCCGTCCTATGTGGGCCCTCGATGGTCCGGCTCTCAGTCTTGACGAGATGAGGCCATTCCCATTCGCCACTGACAGAGGCACCCAACCTTTGCCACATATCGATGGTGGCGATCGGAAAACCTCCTTCTGCGAGCTAGGCTACACCATTGACGACGTAGGAAGAGTCCACCACGAAGGCGGTCGCTTTGCCGAGCCCCAGTAAACCCCCGATCGACCGCACAAGTGGCGTCAGCTCCTCTCGACTTATGGTTCCGCCTGCCTGCAATGCCACCACCGCGACCACGTAGCGCGTCCAGGCCAAGCCCCCGTTGCAGTTCACCTTCGCCACCTGATATGCCCGCCCGATCCTGCGCAGGCTTGGGCCCGACGAGTGTTCGACGCCGGACGCGTCTCCACCAATCCGACCCCTGTAGGTTTTGCAGCCTAGCCAGCTCGGCAAAAGAAGCATCTGCAAGTACTTGGGGTTCTTTGACTTCCCCTGTTAGCCACCAGCCGGGTATCGCTGCGTGGTCCTCGCGAGTTCGTCTAACCAAGGCATCCGAAATCAAGGTGCAATCTGCATTGCACCTGCACCCACAGCTTCGATGCACGTCCGACTCCTCCATCTCCTTGCAACTCGGGCGTGGGGGGGAGGGGGGGGGCGATCGCGTTGCCTCCAAACGAAGCAAAGCGCGCGCGAGTCCAATTAGCTCCTGTCAGAATTGCCTCCATAGCACCTGATTAGTGGTGCTCCTGTTTCTTTCTGCAAGTCTTGATGAGCAACCTACCATCTCGTAGATCCACACCTTGCTCAAGTCCTTCGCCATTCCAGTGCTTGCTGGCCCTGGCCCAAAGTAGCCTGTCCAACGACTCAGCCAGCGCCGCTATTAGGGCAGCCGCATCCTGCGGCCCATCTCCAACGAACGAATCAGGAGTTTGGTATTTATCTTCGTTGTCGCTGCACCAATCCCACGGGCCAACATGGCCCCACCCCATGTCGAGTAATGTGGCGATCGTCGCAAATACCACCCCTGTAATACCTCTCCATATGTCCATCTGTATTTCTTAGCTCTAGCTGCAATTCGGAGTCTGGTTCGTATGGCTGCCCTCCGCGTGCGTCTGGCCAACTCCGTAACAAATCCCAGCCTGAGGACGACAATCATCCTTGATTGCGCCAACCTCTGGACAATATGATAGTTTGGCTCTTTGCGTCTGACATGAAACTAGCGCAAAGTGGTGACGCATCCCCCCGGCCATTGAGTGGCAAACGTTTGTCCAAACGGTCTTCTTCATGCCTTGATGACAGAAGGGGTCGCTCCAAAAACCTTGTCCGAATATTCTGCCATTTCCAACGCACCCATCATGGCCAGCTTCGTGCCGATGCGCCTCCTGGCCGCACCTGCTGCAACCCCTTTGACAACGGTGAATCGTCTGTCTGCGCCTCGCCGACGTGGAGCTTGCTTAGGCACCTCAACGCAACGCTACCTCGATCAATGCCCAAACCGGTGGCCACCGATTCCAGCTTGACATCGTAGCCCTCGATCCTCTGGGACGCGCCATCGATCCAAAATCTCATCGCCATGCCATGCGCCCCCATGGTCGTCTCCGCGGGAGTTGCTGAGTAACATAGGAATCCGAAGCTCCTCGCAGACCCGCGTTCATGTTCCTCTTGGGCTGCGCGGCCTCTGAGTAGCATCCACTGTCCCTGGGGATACGAGGCGACATGTGCGAGATCATCTCCACGCCCAGCACGAGGGGGGAGCTGGCGCTCGATGCCCTTTGCGACGAGCAGCCCCCGTTGCAGTCTCCCGCCGGGCGCTTGCCTGCACCCAGCCTTTGGCGGAGAACGAAATAATCACCCCATCTATGCAGCTTCTCCACAGCGCCCCCCTCACCCATCCCAACCTGCTCGGCGCGATCCTCGGCAGCTGGGCCGCGGCCTCGCCAGATTAGATAGCGCTCCACTTGCACGATCGTCACCTGAGGGCTCCCGCGCCAAAGCCGCCGCCGCCGCCAATTATTACCAAGGCCACACTGCGTCTTCCTCGGTGCATTGACAAAGCCGAACCAATTCCATCTCACCTGCGGGGGGTAACACAGTCAGCTCCTGTTTGCCTAGCTGCTCCACTCCTTTGGCCGCGGACCTCTCCCCGCGGGTAGCTCCTCGTCGACGTGGACGAAATTAGAACCAGGGGCAGCTCCGCGCACCTCGCCCACCAGCTTCTTGACTTTTCCCAGATCAGGTCGTCATCCGCCCACGTAGCTTCCCGCGGGAACGCCCGCGCATGCGTGGCCGTCTTGGGGTCTTTCGGGATGCTGCGCCCCAACTCAAAATCACCCGTCAGGGCGCTATTGCCCTTGCCCATCCTGGAAAGCTTACCTGGGGCTGGTGCGCACTGCTG